GATGTTCATTGCAGTAATAAAATTGACCAGAAACTGACCACTGACCACTGTGCAATTAATTAAAACAAACTTGATTTGTACTTCCTTCCTTGATGGATGGCGAGTTGGTAACTTTTTTCTGATCAGCTTCTCTGACACACAAGTTAACCTCTATTGCCATACCAAAGAGTATCCAAACCAAACTACTGAGAATACCACCGGGACATTTTTGTTTATCTGATCTGGAATGTGCATTTTCTCTCCAGAGGGATGAACCCAGTTTGCCTAATCCAAGAGAGTTTAGGCACAGGGTAGCAAGAGCTCAGGTTTGGTCTCTCCAAACCAGTACAAAAAGTAATGGTTGCATGAGTCACAACGTAAACAAATACAAATTGCATTTGTATAGCGCCTTTCACATTGGGAGGATGTCCCAAGGCGTTGTACATTCAGGGATCTGGACCCGAGCAGGGAATTGGGATCAGGAGGAGTGGAGGGCAGGGAGGTTAGGGGTAGGAGGGTGGCCGAAGGCGCAGTCGAAGAAGAGGGACTTGACATCTGCCTTGAAGGAGGCTAACAGGAGGCATTGGTAAATTTCTTATTTGATAGGACTTTGATTTGCAGGGCTAAGTTCCCACTTACACGTCTAATTCTCATTGATTAGCTAGACAACAACAACTTCCATTTATAAAGTGCCCTTCACCTGGGGTAGTATCCCTGAGCGCTTAAACAACCCATCTGTATGGCTAAGATTTTTGTATTATGTCATTTCTAAAAATCACATTTTTTTCTTTTAAAAACTTTTCTATATTCAGATTGGTAATGATGATAAGGAATTTTATTCTCCATGTAAATCCATTACTGTGTGCTGAGTTTTATCGCCATCTGGTGTTCAACATATGGAGGACTATGGTATGATACAAACAGATCTGAGATCGTCCTCAGGATCCATGCACATATAATAACTATTAGGGAAATAAATAACATTGGTTGATATGGGCGTTCAGAACATCAATCACCAGTACACAATATATTCTGATACAAATCATAGTTTGGCAGAAATCACAGCTTTGTAGTTAATCCACCAAAACAACATTGATGCAGATTTTGACACAATTACACATAGTTTGGGTTCAGGCAGCCATTCAGTATTTATATCATACCTAAAGCAAATTATACTGAGAGAGGATCTATCTAGTTCAATGGATTTTAAAAAAAAGTAACTGCTGGTTGTAAAATACCAATAGCTTTTTGTCTGAAGGCAAATATGCAGCTGAAAATCTTTTTGCAATGTTTCTAGGAAATTCTCCATAATCAAACACTGTGCACATATTCAATAGCACAGAATTTTATGTTGAATTCTGAAACTTCCTGTGGCGGAAAGCCTGGAGGTGATAAATCAGAATCAAGCGATGAATCAGAATCAAAATAGCAAGGCCGAGATTACATATTATTTATTAAGGCTAAAATTTAAACACAAGCTGTTACTAGAATTCAATTCAAATAAGACAAGGAGACATGATACTAAGCTCAGGACATGCCTCAGTACTGGGAAATGTTCTAGCATTCATGGCAGATTGATAAATGAATTCTGTGCAAGTCTTCCATTCAGTTTTTACTCTTAACCTCATGTTTATACTAGAAATGTTCTTCCTGAATAAGCATGAGACATTCTTGAGTGGTTTACCTATTGATAAATTAAAGGAACTCTATCCCAGTGGACATTTGTTTATGATAATGTTCAATTAAAGGGAAAGTTTACTTAGAGAATGATTGATTTATGTAGGACTGTACTCCACCAGTTTCTAGGCCCTGAAAGTTTTTAAAGGCAATTATTAAACAAGTTAACACATGAACCAATGCCAGATTAATAGCTGTAAGAAACTTAAACAAAAGCAACAGGCAGAATTGGATAATTACTTGAAAAATATGATAAACAAGGGGTGAATAAGATTAGAGTAGTGGAGGATCCGGCACAAGTAGACACAATGAGTAAATTAGCTTCTGGCTGTTCTGTGCAAAACATTTCTATTACAGTATTCATACTGTACTGTGAATCTCTAAAGTTAGTTAGTTAGTTAACTCTTTTGAAATGCATTAAATGTGGATAGCAAGAATTTTTTACTCAATATTTCAATACTCGCAATACTCAAGCTGCTTTATGGCACTCGACAATATGTTGAGATCATTTTGGTAAAGTATACAATATTGATCACATCTATTGTTTACTGGATCTGTCAAAGGTGAAACCCCAAAGCCAATCTCAATTGCAATATGCCAATATGCTTCTTCTTTCAAACTTCTCTTGTGATCTAATCAAAGAAGATGTCTTTTTACCCCCTTAAATACTTGTATCAATGTTAAAACTGATTATGTGTTTCAACTATTGATTTTTCATGATCAATTTAAAGTTTTTTTGCATGAATTTCCCTAATTTAGTGACCAGTTCCTTCTAATTGGTTGTTAAAACTTTATATTGCAGTGAGTAATTACCTTTTGATTGTTTAATATCATCCTAAAAGGTCATTTTTCAATGCATTTCAATATTTATATTATAAATATTCAAAACAGAGTATGGCAAATAGTTTGTGTTACTTGCATGTAGAATCTCAAAAATGTTAGCATGTTATTGCATGATTAATACATTTAAAAAATTGGCCATCTGATTTGCCTGCAAATTTAAAGCTACAATCGTGCCTATCATCTGCTGATAGCTAAAATAGCAACCTTTTCACCGCAATAGAAATCTTGGACCAGTTTCATTTCTTCACCACTTTGTCAAAATTTCAGAACAACTTGCCCTTGCTTTTCAGTGTAGGATGAAATCTATCTATAATGTTAGAATGATTTGCGGTTTGGAATCCTTGTCAAAATTGAATTTTATGCTTCAGAAAATTGCCCAGAGCTTATCCACTACAATCTCTTTGTGGAATCGTGATTATCACTTCCTAGAAAAATCTGAGTGTTGTCTTGTCCTAAAGTTGTTGCTAAATGGATCCTCTCTTCTAGAGTGATCACTTTAATGTATAACACAAAATAATGGCAAGTGCATTTGGTGGTGTGATTGTTAACCTCATGTTGGAGACTTAACTGTATGATTCATAATTATGCTAACTGGCAGTGCTTCTCGAGCAAAGTCATTAGCATGAATGACATAGCTCTGTAACCTTAAATAACCCACTCTGCGGAACACAAGTGACAACTGGTACTATTTTAATTTATGCACCATATCCATTTTTATATCATTAGCATTTAAGCTTCAACATTTGAATACCTCAAATGTATAAATCTTCTGAAACTACAGCCTGAATTCAGTCACTTATCACCACAAGCCAAATTTTGTTTTATGGCACCTTTCAATACTTATGAAGGGTGGGTGAACAAGAAAATATATCAAGCCTACTCCGTCCACAGCCAACCTTTGTCAGGCTTCATCCCATCTACAGCTCAAGCACTCTACTGAAGAAATTGTTTTCATGGAAACACCATGACCCCAACGATAAAGGAGCAAAACCTCCAGAATATTCGTCCTTCACCATATAACCACTATCCCTTCCCTGACAACGCAGCACAGAATGCAGTTGCAAATGTAACATATTACTCACCAGTGAGATTGAGATAAGATACAATACAGTAAAATACAATTTTACATTTATATAGCGCTTTTTCGCTTCGGGAGGACGGCCTAAGACCCTTAACCTGTTTTGTTATACACACTGAGTAGGGTATCTTTTAAAATACTATCAGTGATAAACTGTAGTTGATCCCTGTTCATCAATTCATCCATATCATTAATTCATATAATGTAAAATTTGCAAAAACGTTCCTAAGCTTAATGAATGTATGCATATACACATTTGTTTAACACACACCGACATATTTTCAACATCAGTGGAAAATTAACCAAAAAGTGTCACACCTCAGAAAATGCGAACTCAGACTAGGAATTGGATGGTTGAATTATTTTTGAGGATTAGTTTATTCTTGCAGAAAGTATTCCCTTCTCTTCAAATTTAACTTAATGGATTGTTTTAATTCATATACAATTCCTTCCTTTGGCATTTCGGAGAGTAAAATAATACGTTGACTGAATATAGAAACAAATATTTTGAATCAACAGAATTGATGTTGCCATCATAACTCTTAAAAAGTAAAGCAGAAATCCCTAAGGAACTGCTGATATGTAAAACAAGTTGGTCAATAGTAACAAAACATTTTCCTTAAATGGATCTTACCAATGTCCATTGGTTTATGGCGTTGATTATGTGATAAACTTATGATACCAATGTACATATAATAAAGCAAGTATATATTGTTGACCAAACATTTAAAATATGTGTCACTTCCCACATTGTTCACGTGGCATCTGTTTCTATGCCTGTGTCGTGTTTTAAAAATGTATTCAGCCGAGGACAAATATAAATGTGGCTGGGAGCCCCTGAAGCTCAAACCTGACACTTAG